GCGAGCCCCACAACAATCTTCTCAAGAACCGAGAAGGAGGTCAGTCATTTTGATCTGTTTCTGGGAGAATTCCGTCAGCCAGCGCGTGAAGTTGCTGGTACACGCCTCGCGATATTGCGAACATTACTGGAACAGTATTTTCTTGTTTTTGTCTGTGCACACCGAAAACTGAACAAGAATGATTAGTCAAACGACCAGGTAAAAGCCTATTTCGTCCTACGTCTACTGCACATTATCTTTTTCCGGGATCTCCAGAAATATCCCCCACGCAGACGAGTTCCAAAACCGTAAACTGACGGCTAACGATCTCTTGGCGGATGCAAAACGTGGATGTCGACACCTGAATAGCCGCGCGGTGATATTCGATATCCGCCACACAAGCCATCCAATTCGTTCGAGTGTGGCCGCCGCCATGTGGACAATGACGTCGTCCGGAGTCCCGGCTATTAAGCACGTTTATGGTGAGTGCAGTCCACGTGATTCAGGCACTGCCGTCTCCTCCTCCAATACCCGGCATTCCGATGTTAAAAGAGACGACAGGCGGCAACGGGGCATTTTCAGCCACATAGTTTAACGGAGTAATAAGATACAATATGGGAAGAAGTGTACTTAACACGGATTCGTGTAAACTCCGCAAAATAATTAGCACATACCAAAGCCAAAGCATAGAACTCGAGTTCCCCATACTGTACCAATTCAGGCGTAGTGGATCTGTTTTGAGCAATGCTTTTACTTCGAACGATTAGTTTGGCTGAAATTCTTATGTAATAATAGATTGGCATACAGCGCTTCAGCTGAAGAGAGGCGTTGATTATAATGCTATTTAAATTAATTTCGATTTTTGTCTAAAGGTCTTCAATGGACTTTTGTATATTCTAACAATAATCGGTTTACATCCATTAGAAACGCTAATAGCAGTCGACAAACAAAAAGGATGACATCACCGCTACGACAGCCTGCCATTATCGCCGGGTTCCGGAACCTGCTTTTGTCCGAGACAAAGCAGTACGCGGCAGCGCGGCCAATCGCTCGCCTTCTACCTGTTGTTTACCCCGCGTCCATCGCAGTCGTTAGCGCCACGGCTCCCAGGCCCCGCGATTGGGAGGGGGCGGGGTGGTGTGGGGGGGCGGGGTGGGGGGGGCGGGGGGGGGGGGAAGCGAGCGACAGCCTTCGACCTTCGGACTCTAGGGCGGCTCGATCCCGAGGCCAGCGCCGCGCAGCGCACCTTTCGTGCCGCGCAGCGCCGAACCGAGCGCGCGCCGAGGTAGAACAGCTGGCGCAGGAGGCGCGGCCGAGCGTGCCCCGTCTTCCTCCTCCGACCGCCAGGGGCGGGGCGGGCGGGCGGCGGGGCGGGACGCGACGGGCGCGCAGCAGCCGGCGACCCGGCGGCGGCTACGTGAGTCCCACGAGCTGCGCACGTGATTCTCCGGGCGGCGCGCTGCAGGGGTGTCACGAAAGCGGGTCACACGCGCCAGCCGCCGAAGCAGCTCCTTCGCGCCGAGCGCTTGTGGGCACGCGCCCCATCAGCCACCGCGTCGCGTGCGCCTACGTGACTCGCGGCATTAGGGAGAATGTCACAAAGAAGCTGTCCCCTCCCGGCCCCGACCCGACGCCGCCTGGCAGGGCTGTCCACGCCGCCAGCCAGCCTCTGTCACTTTCCCGGAAGGCGGTGGGCGGAGAAGAGAGGACGCGCGTGCATCCAGAGGGCGTGGAAATAAAGGAAGCGCTCGCGGGCGCGGGGTCGTCGCCTCGGGGGCGTGTCGTCTCCGAGTCAACAGGATCTCTCAGTCGCTTCCGTAACTCTTCCTGTTGATCCCACAGACATCGACGGAAGACAATGGTTGCGTCGGTTTCCACACACAGAATTCCTCATCAGAAGCCGGCGCGACGCCCCGATGGCCTGTGAAACTCCGACCGGGTCGTTCGGACTCCGAGCACTGAATTCGCGCTATTTGTAAATAAAGCGGCTGCTTCGAGGACGAGGGGTCTGCCCCCAAGGTTCCGCCCAATGAAACGTGGAAAATACGCGTTCGGGGTCGGCGAGAGGGCCACGATCGCGAGCGAGCGCATAGGAAATCAGCACAAGGCTCGCGCGCGAACGGGGACGCGGCGAAGGCTCGCACGGAAGGAAGCTCGGGTCGGGGCGCGCACCCCGGACCCACGACGCCCGCGGACGACTACGCGGCAACGGCGTACCTCTCCGGAAGTGTCCCAACCGCCGTTTCCAGGGAAAGACCTGCTTTGAAGTTTCGAAACAACTTCCCCATGTTTTACATGGACTCCGCTATTATCGTTCACGACGATCGCTGATAACCGCAGCGAGTTCCCATAAACGGCAAACCTGGGGATTTACGATCAACTAGATTAATTGTGTGGTAAAAAAGATGGCATCAATCATAAAGAAAGCTAAGCTACAGAATAATGCGAAATCATAGTTGGACGAAAAAAATACGTTAATGAAATCAGTTTTCGGCAATAAAAAATAAACAAAGTATCCGTTTACAAATCACAGTCCCGCACTCGCAGCACGGAGATTTCTTTATTCTTCTGGAGTTCTTTCTTACAAAGAAAACCTACATCCGAATTTTCAAATAATGGTATTATTTCCAATGGTTCGTCTCCAAACGTTATGAAAAGAAAAAATTAATGGTGCTACAATAGCCATTCTTTCTCAAATTATTTCTATGGGTTACGAATGATTATAATACTAAATCTACCTGCGAAACTTTCCAACCAACATTTTTTGCCTGCGATGAGATTCGAACTCTGCGCCTTTCACGTTACCCAGCGCCTTTCACGTTACCCACACACCAGCACCTTCCGAATTGAACTAAACTTTCCCAACGCCTTAAAAAGTACAACATATGCATTTGCACATTTCTAAAATTCTGAGATATTGATTCACATTATTTCGAGATCTAGCTTGAAAAACATTGTTTTATTAAGGAAAAATCTATCATCAACACTGCACTTTTGCGTTAGTTTTGATAGCAATTTTCAAAATTACAAAGAGTTTACCAAAAATGGAATCTGCGTCATTTTGCAAGCGTCCTTATGTAGGGTAAAATTTTTAAAAAATAACGCAGAGCAGTTTTTAGTAAATAATTCTATAAAAACAGCCTTCATTTTACACATAATTACGCACAATGATTTATTCATAATTTATTTATTAAAATATTAATTATTCATATTTTCGAAAATGATACATTACCTCACTATTTATAGATGTTTGTAAAGATGTATTGTAGTTGTATAAAGACACCAAAAAAGTTTGCTCGTTAAAAAATTTCTACGCAAAAATAACCTGCAACATTTTTATGCGTCCTTCCTGCACCTCGAAAAAAGTTAGAATAAAGAAATTTGGAGCCATTTTTTAAAAACGGAATCGGTGTCCTGATCGATTTTGGAAGAATATTGTCTGATCGATGTAGGTCCTAGAATTCACTGAAGGCGGACGTTTTATCGTCAACCAATTTTTCGGAATTCAGTATCCAAAAAACGTGCATTCTGACTATATATGTTAGAGAAAGTAATTTACTACACACAGAACTAGGATTTATCCACTTTTTCAATACCGACGCGTTTTCCTGTCCAAAAACCACATATTACATAGCATTACAATACATCGACTTAAATACAAAAGCACGTAGTGAGGGGAGAAAATTTCAATTCCCCAAACTATCTTATTGCCGTAATAATTGACCCAGAAATAACCATAGAACACAGATATAAAGTAAGTATGTGGCAAAAGACGAAAATGTCATTAGATATTGCAAAAATCCTAGTGCTCTCAAGCCAAAAATCCCTCATCAGATATGAGAAATGTCCCTATTTCCATTTTCAGATATTCTTCGATAATATGAATATTTATCAGTGCATGATTCTGGGTGGAAGGTAGCAATCAGGGACTATGTCCTGCCCTTCCCTAAATACAACATCTTAAAAATTTACTCTCATTTTATTCAATACAATTACATGTTGATCGCATCACATACCAGAGAAGTATTCACTCTTTCGAATTCAAATTTTTTTAACGTCAAACAAACTTATATAAAATCACTTCAACAATATTTTGGGGCAAAAAGTTCCCCAAAACACATTTTAGTGGAATGTAATTTAGAACACTTTATGCATCCGTCTCGGGCACTGTAAGTACGTTAATACGAGGGTGGTTTCCCCCATTTGCAGGGAGAGAGATAAACACTTTGTGGACTCGCCTGCAGCATTCCCTTTCAGATCTTTCAGGGCGTAGTCGGTCCTCAAACCATCGACCAATATGATGAATATGAAAACGCAATGCAATTATTTTCTTCACAAATGCACCGCATCCACGTTCCAAAAGATAAAAGGTTTTTGTATATTTTGTCGGTCTCTATTGAATCAATTCTTCAAACCATACTGATTCGGCAACGCTCGTTGTCAGCTCCCACAAGCAATGTTTCCTTGGAATTGTCAATCCCTGTGTCCATGTCCTAAAAATATATCTTTTTGTTGTTTATCACGTCAACAAACAAGAGAAGTTAAATCATATTTAATCCTCATTAACTTGCTGTTTGGAAAGGTCCATACCACTTTGAAGAGCTTAATGAGGCAATCGTTCAAATTGCTTAGGTATTGTAGAACACTACAAATGCAGATACTAAAAAAATAGGAAATATTAAAAATCAGGAAAGACATCAAAATAACGGTGAGAAGTGACCTGCAGGCCAAATAATAGGAGTAAGTGATAAATAGTTCCACTTTTTAATTTTTTGTCACAGTCGCGACAATTTTGACGACGTACAGGATCTCAAAATTAACTATTGGGAGTAATATGAGTTTCCTCACTGTTTCTGACAACTTGTCGAATCAAAGTATGTGACTGACATTTGGGTGACAAATAACCAATTACAGGTAGGTTCTTTCAATGATCGCTTTCGCATGGAATGTGTTTAAATACTTGAAAGTTACGTCCCAAGTGACAATTCCTTCTTCACCCCAATCCGATCCCAGATCCTTACCTGGAGTTCCCGGTGGCGCGCAGCGACGCCGCGCAGGAAGTCCGGGGCGCGCGGCGTCGGCGTCGGCGTCTCCTCGGGCGCGGCCTGGGTCGGCGGCGAGGGCGAGGGCGACGGCGAGCGCGAGGGCGCGGGCGCAGGCGCGGGTGAAGGCGTGGGCGAGGGCGAGGGCGGAGGCGGGGCTCCTGCCGCCGCCGCCGCTGCAGTCGCCGTCGAGGCCGCCAGCAGCTGCGAGGCCTGCACGTAAGCGCTGTTGGCGCACGCCAGCTGCTCGTGGTCCCCGAACTCCGCCTGCACCAGCAGCGCCACCAACTTGGCGGCTGCCTCGGCGTCCGTGACTCGAAGGCGGCCCTCCGCCAGGTCGAGGCGCGCGTTCAGGTAGAACTGGTGCCTGTGGGCATAGGGCAGAGGGCGCTAAGGGGAAAGTTAAGAGCCGGGAGGGTGTGGAGGCGCGGGCGTGGCGGTGGCAGGGGTGGTTGAAGGGGCGCGGCTGAGGAGACGCGGGGGAAGATCAGCGGCGTGGGCGAAGAGCGGGGGTCGAGTACTCCCCCACACTCGCGCACACCGAGCCACATTTATATTTTTTGGCGTTGCGTCCCCATATGTATGCGCAACCAAGAGACGAGTTATTCACTTCACATTATAGAGAGACGTTCGCCACAAAAATGTACCAAGTTCACAATCTAACAGAGTGCCTGTTGTGAAATTGCACATCTGAAATTACGACGCAGAGATTTCCGCATCCCGGCCACGGAAGCGGTTGCCGCGGTCACTGAAGTACGACGGCGTCGCAGAAATTCAATAACAAACCCGTTGGTAAATAAGTCATTGAAGCTCCGCTGAACCGTCTGACACAATCAACACATTTTAAAAGGGTCTACGTACTCAGTTTCAGTGATTTTAGACAGAAATAATGAGACTTATGAAGAAGGCCGATCTCAAGCTTTAATAAAGGTAGCCCGATAAATCTGTACTGCCTTAATATAAATTTCAATGTACCGCTATCGTTACAATTTACCTCATACCAAGAATTTATGACTTTAAGGAAGAAATAATATATGATTTATGGATTGGATTGGTATTTATTCTTCACTACAGTGATTCATCTCTTTCATTCCTCTTGTTTTCATTTATGGAGAAATTAAGTTACGAAAGCATTGTGCCGCATTAGGCCACTAGGGACAGTTTGTCGCGAATGAAAATGAAAATGCTCAGCGCATACGACGGTTAGGCATGCACATACAAAATTGCAAAATTGAATGCATGTTTCAATGTGAATTAGTTCAATCATGACTAATTCGACCTCTATCAATTTTAATTCGTTTCACACTAGCAACAAATGAAATCAACATACGAAACAAAATGTAAAATTCTAGACCTCCACTAAGGTAGGTCCAACTCCAAACGCTTACTCCATTGAGGTGGGGTGACATTAAACTTAACCGTCACTGACTACGGAAGAATATTGGCAACCTACGAATCTAATTTTCTTTCTCTACGCGCATTAATTAGCATTGGAATCAATTTCACGAACGAAAAAGCTTCGTAATTTCCCAACGTGTTCAACCACCATGGAAAACCACATTGACACTCGCTTTTCTTATGAGTGGTCGAGCAATTAAATATAAATTATTACGATAAGACAGCTACACAGCGTTAAGGACTATGATTATCACTTTCTGCAATATAAAGTTCGCCCCAAAATGGAGCGCGTGAAGTGCCGTTTTCAAATTAGCTGATCAAAGATCGCTACCAATCTCGTAGTAAACATTTCTTTGACTTAAGGCGAAAATGCCCAATTATCACCAACTGAAGATAATTTCTAAATATGTCCTAAAAAGATCAAAGGTCGCGAGTTTATAGATATGAGAAGTGGAACAATGCACATGAAAGATTCAAGCCGTTAAGTGTTAACATTATTTTTATCTAATTTATGACAAAACAGGCATGCCCAAATTATAGCCCTTAAGAATTCGCAGTCGTAAAAATTAGTCTATTACTAACGACACTGAACATTTTCCACCACTAAACCTTCATTAAGTACTAATCGTTGATAAAAACAAAAAAGAGGAAGAAAAATTTTAAAAAATTTAAGCTTGCGGAAAAATTTCTCTAAAGCAATGTACTAAAATTGCAGGGAATAAATGTTCAATAAAACCATGACCACACCGATCGTTATCGACACTGTTCTAAAGAAATCTAAAGAAATTACAAGCGATTGCTGATTGAACATTTTCAAACATCGAACTTGTTTTTCGTTCGGAGACTTTCTTTTGGCCACTCACTAGCGTTTTCTCGATAAGTCGTAAACAGTGAATAGAGTAGATATAATGGAAGAGGAAGAAAGATGATATAATGGCAAAGATACCGATTATGTTTCTATCCTCAAGAAACGAACTACCGAATAAGGAACGAATGGTGGTCATAGATGATATAAATAGTTTATTTAAAACACTAAAGTTCAAATTATTTATCAGAACAGTCGTTCTATTTCGGGTTTGTGAGATGCTGCTCGATAGAAATGCAATGGTTTACAACGAAATTTTAAAGATCTTTTTTTTTTTTTTTAATGTAGTTTGTTGATATTCCAACTGCCCTGGGGGATATTTAATTAATAGAAATCCATAACTATCTGAAACAATCTTACACAAGTGCATAGCCATATCTAACCACATACCTTAAGAGGAAATATTTCAATATATGAAAGAACAAAAAATTGCGTTGCATGTTTAACAAGAACCAGAAATGATCATTCAATTCTCAAATACTAAACTCAATTTTCAAAATACAATGAAATCCAAAGAAAAAATGTATTGTTTCCTCTAGAAATTGTGATCTAAAAAGTTTAATTCTGTGATCAAAATTTCACATTTTAGCAAAATATTAGTTGAGTATCAATCGATACATAGTTTTATTAATAAGCCTTATTATTAAAGTTGATAGTTTATATTATTAATTGCATCCTTTGCAAACATTCCGCAAATTTGATTCATTTTGTACTATACGGCTTTAGAAAAATAATTTTGCCTCCAACTGTCCCCAAACACGTTTCCAGTACATTTCTGCATGCGCCCTCGCGGTCCACTGTTCATCCCTAGGAAGTTCCCAGTAACTGACAACCCGTGCTAGTAAGTGGGAGTACTCTGCAAAAGTGAAACGTAACGTTCAAAAGGGTTTTGTATTGTCTGAGGCATAAGAAACGTAATTTGACCCAAGGACACGAAAACCTAGATTTATGGGTCTTGGTCGCAGCGTTTCCGAATTATGTATCGTGTTGCGGGTTGGAGATTCATCAGCTCTGAACCGTATATCATTATCTGTGAACTCGTTTTTTCTTGTTAAATCTGATTCATAAAGGACGGGGGGGGGGGATTTCCCCTATCGATACACGAGGTTTTGTGTCTAATTTCATATAAAAGTTAGAAATGTTTTATACTCAGCCAAAGGTTGCTGAAACGGAGAAGATGAGGAGAAAACTGAGTACCTCTGCCTTCGAATAGAGAACTGATTTTTGAACCGATGTCGGGGCACAAGATTGTTTATTTCCAAGAATCCGGATTAATTGTTTGGAAGGCGCCTTGCCGTGCCGCGGAGAGGGAGAAGGGAGGGGCGCTGGCGGCGGGCGAAGGGCCTAAAAATAGGCAGGGCGCGGTGGGGCCGGGGCGGAGGCGGGGCGGGCCACGCTCTTCACCATGTGGAGTCCTGTAATAGCAGGTGAGGAGGCACCCAGAACTTGACGCGCAGCGCGAACCGGTACGGCGGCATGCCCGCCACCTGCCGCTCGATGGGGTTGCGCAGGTTGAGCCACAGCTCCTCTCCCTTGGCGCAGTGGTACTTGAGGCCGAAGTAGTCGGACTCGTTGCTGATCCCCAAGCACTGGCACACCTGAAGCAGGGGCAAAGGGAGCCCGCGGTCAGCGACGACTCGGGCCACGAGTTCGCGCCGAAATGGGTACATCCAAGGGGAAACATTCATAATATTCCAGACGTATCCAAAGCACTTTTCAGAACAGGGTTATTTAAAATCTTCCGCCATTGTAGCAATCATTCCAAGAGTCCCGACTCGCAGGAGTTTTCCCAGCATCACACGACCTTCAGGTTTCCTCGATCTTCCATCAACACCCAGATTTATAATTTCTCGACAATTTATTTTTCGGTGCTCTAGTGGAAATCCCCTCCTACATCTCAAAGAACAAAAGATCTCCGGTTTCCTTAGTTTCAATTTTGATCGTCTGGCCTCACAGGCATGCGCCGACTTGGGACCGGGATTGAAATTCAGTAAAAACATGCCCAGGTTCCCCCATATCGGTTTTGAACTTAAGATAAAATAATGCTTTTGACTTCGTACCCCCATTTTGTTACCTACCTCTCACCTTGTGTTAGAAGGTGCACGAAATTTTAACGAAAATGGCCAAATGGACGAATGCTCGTGTGTATCATCCGGACACATTTTAGCCTCATCCAGAATGTAATGGTGTGTATAACATGAAGGCCGAAGTTTTACTTCCCCGCTATTGCATACGCCGTATAGACGCAGTATTGTAATGCTTCGGGGAAAACGGCGAATTTTCTAAAGAAAAACTTTTATTTTTGGGCCCCGGTAACGAAAAAGTGGATATATCACGTTGTGGCAGAATCCATCATTTGTGGTTCCTTTATACCGAAAAATCATTTGACGGACAAAACGAGTTGATCTTCTGCCCATACGTCACACATTTGTTGCTGTTTTTTGACTAAATAAATCAGTCTGTCCGTCTGCAAAAAAAGCTAGCAGCTGAATCGTAAGCAGGATTTTCACTAAAATTGGCATTCCTTTATCGGTCTAGCAGATGTCGCGGTCCCTTAAATTTTAAACCGATAATTTAATTAATAGTTAATATTATAAAAAACGCTAATCAAGAATGTATTGTCGCGAACATCAGGCCAACTAGCGTTTTTATAACACTAACAATTATTTTTTCTAATTCTTACTGATCGTTTTCAACAAACCTGGGCAATAGAATTTCGAAAAAGGCCCCAACTAGGGTTGAAACGTCAAGAAATAGTTAATAAAAATATTTTAGTGTCTGATAATTAAGATCAGAAAAACAATACAATTCTCTCTTTTCAGTAAGTGCTGCAAAATACTATAAGAGTTAAATTTATTCATCTTTGTTGCATTTGAAAAAGTAAGATATTACATCTATTCCTGGCACAGGCGCTTCGTTTGAATATGACTTTTTAAAGTTATAGCTGACTTTTTAGTAAGGCAGAAATTAATTTCAGTATTACGTTACTACGTCGAGAGAAGGGTGCTGTTGTAGGACCTACTTATTTGGTGAAAATGTCAAATAATAAAATTTCCAATAAAACTGTTAGATTATTATTATATTATTATTATTATTTTTACGTTCAGAAAATCTTTAAATAGTCATAACACAATTAATTAATTATCCGAAAGAACACTGTCACAAAGATCGAAGAATGGCAACTTTGTCACGCTAAAATAAAAGCGATCAGAACAACTTTCAGGAGATATACACACAGTTGCAATTGCGCATGGGACACAGTTTTCCCAGAGACGTGGTACAATGGGTATTGTGGACACGACACCCGACAGCTTAACAATGGCTAATTATGCGAGAAAAAACATTAAATTAATTAATATAAATCTGTATGTTACAATCTACATTTGATGACGTTTTTTAACTAATTAATTCCGAATCCCAGATGCTGAATCTATCGCGGCCCACTTCGGGAATAACACCATCCACACTAGTTACGTAAATGTCAATTGTGGAACGTACGTCGACTTCTTCCTGACTATGCATTACTCAGAAATGATAATTTCCTTCTTCACTTTTACGCACTGGCTTAGAATTTATCACACAAAAATAGAGCGATACAGAACTTCGGTTCATGTAAAGTTTTCAATTTCTGTGTAGGGTTTCGAATTCAGCAGTTAAATGCACCTCGTTGTTGAAATTCGCCGAATTCCATAATTGTATATATTCCATAAATGTATTGGCACACAACGACCATAATAATTAATAGTTCGTGAAACATAGAGAAGTGTGTTGAGGGAGAATTCGCCGAAACCCGAACATAACTTTACAATAATTAATTATCCTATTAGGCATACAAATTTGAACTATAAAAAATTAATAGGTTAAACCAGGGTTTTCCCCAGCCTTGGGTGTTACGTGCTTGGGGTGTGGAGCCTCGCTCAATTGTTTACACCCCCTCTAGATAGTTTTCAACGAAAATGAGACTTACACTTTTAAACATCCTTCACACTAACAACAAAATTAAATAAAAGAAGATGATGCCATTTACTTTAATATTTTGAAAATGACCCAGGGGCTTCAAGTCAAGACCTCCCCCCCTAAAAAATATCGGTTTCAAATTCAGGGGGTCGATACATCAGTCAGATCGATTGTGAAATATCAATTTTGTAGAAAATCCGCTGAACGGTTTAGACGCTAGTGTTGTTCACAGACAGGCGGACTGACTTTTTGCCGTCATTTCATTTTTCAGTATCAAGGAACAACAAAATAAGGATTCTGACTACACCCCGTGTTAGATGATTCTTCGCTAAATTTAGCAACAGGATTTATTCACTTTTTCGTTACCAGGGCCCTAATAAAGTTTTACAGGTTTACAGTTTTTAAAATTCGCCGTTCTTTCGGGCAGCTTTACATAACTTTCAACTGCCGACGCGGCAGCGAAAAAGTGATAATTGAGATTATTTGAAAACATTAAACACCGAAAAGGGAAATGAAATCTGAGTTGCGACATTCGTATCTTGGGAGGGAGCGTGGGATTAAGCGTTACGAGTTGTTACGAAGAGAACAAAAGAAAAAGCTAAATTTTGCGAAATTGTATAATGCGAATGACCCAATTCAAAGAATTGAATAAGCTCATAGGTTTGTGATTCAACTTTTCTCTGTGCTTTTATGCATTGAAAGTTGTGTGGTAAGCCCATGATAGGCACTCTTTTTACAAAATTGTTACCATGCAAGTGGAATCAAAATGGTCAGATTTTGGTTTTCTGTATCAAATTTACACCAATGTCACAAATAAGTAAAATAGCAATATTACGGAATAACTACGTTTTTACAACCACAAATTCTTATCAACGTGATATAAAAACCTATTCAATTGTTCTGCATTTGCCTGTGCTTGTCCGGGGTAATATCTTGAACGGCTACACACATTTGCACCAATTTTGATGGAATTTTCACTAAAAGGCATAGTATTTTGTCAGCCCAATGTTGGTTACTTTTTTCAAATTAATACTTTTTACGTATATAAAACTAGTGGTTCTACAACAGCATATATGGTACTTTCTCGCAATAGTCGAAGTTTTGCAAAATTCAGAGACTTCAACGGAAAGCGGACCTGTGAATTTTTTGTCATGTGCTGTATTCGAAGAAAAAAAGGCAACATTTTTGAGGCTTTTTAATATATTGTTTAATTTCAAGTAAAGATTGCAAGACTACCATTTTTTTTACCTTTCTAAAGATATATTTTTAGAACAAATTTCACGAAGGAAAATCTCTATCATTAAGGTTCTACGTTTGTAAGGTTGTACATGACCTTCCTTTAAGAACATATTTTTTCATTAAGGAAAAATACTGTATCCTCAATATTGTAGTTGTAGGAAGAGACAGAACAATTTCTGAACTTTTGCAAATCGGATTTTCGGCTCTCTAGATTTTAAACTACAGAGTTCAATGAAAATAAGACTGCGTTATTTTTAACAACCTTTCCTTTATCCGCAGCTTTTGGTTCAGGCTTCCTGCTTTCTAGATCGGAACTTATTCGGATCGGATGTCATTCGATGACGAAGCAGTGCCCTAACAAACGTTCTACACACCGCGGGCGATCTTTCCTCTTCCTTGCCGTATCTTCACCCGTTAAGGCCTATTCTCAAAGCAAACGTAAACATAGGCATAGCGCATAGACAAACATTAGCATAAGTGATAGAACCCAGTATTCACAATGTCTAACATAAACGTAAGCAAAATAAGAGTTCCTATGGACTGTGAGTCATTGTGCTTTACTATTTATTGGATGTGAGAATCCATTTCAAAGTATCGACTGTGACCATTGCCCATACGGCGTTAGTTCGGCGTCTTCGCTCAAATTTCGATTCTCCGCTTCGAGTTGCCGTACTGTGATTGGTTCATTTATTATGTCTTACTTACGCAGAAGCACAGAAGCTTGAAGCTTGCAAGCCTTTAAGTTAACGTCTTACGTTTTATGCTTACCCGAACGCATTGTGAATGAGTCCGCTTATGGACGTAGTCCCAACTTTTGTGTTAACGCCATGCTTATGTTTATATTCGCATTGTGAATGGACCTTTACACGCTTTTACACTACCATACACTACTCTCAGCAACGTATCGAAATGAGTGCGTAACCTCCTGCCAAACTTGTATCTGGGTCTCCTTTGTAAAGGTATATAGCAAACAAGTAGCGTTGGTCCCTTAAATAAAAATATCCCCCAAAATGGGACCTCTTTTACCCGGGCCCGAACGTTACGCCACTGACTACACTACCACACATGTTGGAAGACCAGTCGGGAGCCTAGAACTTGACCCGGCTGGGGCTTTTATTCAAACCATTCTTTAAATACTCTCGATACTACTAACACGGTACTTTTTCGATGCCAAGTGTCCATGATACGAGTTTTCTGTCAAAAAAATCGCCATTTTGCCGCAGGAATACAATACCTTCTCTTTACTATGCAAATACGTAATATGACGCGAAAATAAAATGTTTGTTTTTGCTTAAAATTCTAGTTTTATTCCGATCTTACTGTAATTGTGTACACGTAGCATTCAATACAAAACCAAAGTTCCTGCCGGCACGAGATTTTATAAATTTTACCATTTTACTAAATTACAAACCATTTGAAGAAAACTGCAGTTTTTAAAGAACAGTGTGAAACAAGCGAGGAAATTAATTAGAATACATTAAAGCTTTCTTAAATCCCACACAATTTGCTGGTAAAAATCGTTTCTGGAAGCTAGCCAGGAGTATGCCAAGTGCAGGGATACACTAGAAATAATATTCACTACTTTTCCTGTTTAATAGACGATTGCGATAAATATCTCGGCAAATTTCATTAATTTAATACACACTTTAATAAAATCATAATAAATCAAAATCTATTTTGTGTTCTTACCCCCCCCCTCCCCCCCCAAAAAAGCATATCTACATTCTCTGCCCACACGGCTGAAAATCCCTGCGTGCATTAAACCAGATTCTCAGGCTTATCGTTACGGTTTTCGCCCACAGAACTATTTTCTCTTTTATTGCTTATTAACTATTTTTGAGAACTCCAAGTAATTGACCGGGGTCCCCATAGAATTGTGTGCTTGGGTTCTCCGCAGTACATAAATCCGACCCTAAAAAAAACCAAAATGTTCATAAATATTAGTAAAAATTGACGAAAGTATACTTATTAATATCACATTGAAAATTAACTTTACAAAATACGCTTTGCCCAGTTTTTTAATACTGAAACATTAATAACCTGAGAGCCTTTACTGCTTACCTTCATTTCACCAAGTGGATATAAGCAGGGGCGTACAGAGTAACCAGGGGCATGGGGTAGCTGATCCACGGAGGTCCGTCATTTCGAACAAGAAAATCCCTTCTCCCCAATAGATAAACAAGAATTCCATGCATCAGAAATAACTTACAGCGTTAAATTTGGATAATAGATTAATACATTTTTTTAATTTTTTTTAGTGAAGAGAAATTCGGGGCCTAGAGCAAGTTGGCCTACTTCCCACCCATCCCCTCCTGGTCACCCTGGATGTAAGTAATGTAACGGATTTAAGTACAAACATAATACGTATTCATTCTCAAATATCAGAAATTGTGTGTAAGCTTCTGCGGAAAATTGTGAAAGCAGCTTCATTGTAAATATTATAGTTCTAATTGTCAACTATAATAATTTGTCTAACTTTCTTTTACCGATAATCCGTACACAATAATGTCAAAAATTTGTCGCAATAATCGAAATTGTCTTGAAAAAGCGACAATTATTGTCGGTATCAAGAAAATTTTCGACAATTATGCATTTAGTTGGGCTTGAATCTACTGGGAAAATATTTATTGTTTACGTGTCTCGTATATAATCTACATTTCTTATTGACCTCCTCTTAAGTAATGAATATCACCAAATTGAAAAAATAATGTATGAACATTAATCACACACAAAGGAGACCGAACGATCTAAACGAGACCAACTGAACAAAACACACTGTCAAATAATGAACTAAATTACAATATTATAATCAAATATCCACAGAAAGGAGAAACAATATCGGAAGTACGAGTTTAACAGCTTTCTTTTTTTTTTTTTTTTTTTTACAAAAGCAATACAACCGTGATTGTCATAATAAATAGAATTTAAATTAATAAACTTCCACATTTTTTTTATTAGTTACACAAAAAATAAAGTAACCGTTGTGGATATCAATTGGCGCAAAACAGGAATGTTTATTTATAACTTTCTTCAGTGTTCAAGAGACTATTTTATCATTACTATGAAAATCATTTCCTATCAAATAAGAAGCGATGACCCCTGATAGAGCATCTTTCAGCCTTTGTTTACAAGTAATAATGATCTTCTCTTATCCAAAACGGAATGTCCAATGGAAGTAAAAAGTTACATTTGTCGAAACTCTTGTTATTTCTTTGCTTCTCGGTATTATGTACTCTTGTAAACAAGAAGATTTATTATTCAAGCGACGTCACAGTATTAAGCTGGCCCAAGGTCATCAACCAGCGATAAAGTACCTGCCTGCATGTGAGGCATACGCGAAAACAAGAATGCCGCATAAACAAGTCACAAACACTGTAAACATCTCCATATGCGCAATCTCTAATCGGCTCAGCAAGCAGCAGTCTTTTATCAATCCCAAAAATACACACACCTACGAACATGCTGTGAAACCTGTACAGCGACACATTTATGGACTTTGTACTACCAAGAGGAACGAAGTCCAAGTTCTCCCGCCACATAGTGTGACAAAGCCTAACCACAAACAACATTGAATCAATTACCGCGAGCGCAAACCACGCTACACTTGTTTATTTCGATAAGAGTTCCTTCCCACATACGTCACAATGCAATTTATTAGATAGTGTGGTTATTGACATTTTGTATTGGGGATCGCATGCACATGGCAAGTTGCATTCAACTGTCATGACAAAGGACAAGCATTGTTTATCAAATCAAAGCCTACGAAAAAATTTAACTAAGCCCTTGCTAATACCGTACTACTAATAAGATTTCTTAGAATTAAAATCTTCCAAAACCTTTGAAATTGGAAAATCATACAACCGAAACAATACAATAACGAAACAAACAATTACTGATCCGGCTTTTAACAGTTAATTAACAGAGACATTTTACTTCTCATTCTCAACACCTGTGACAAACAGCTGTTTTCTGTCATTACAAAAGAAATTGTTTCACAGCAGTGATAAGTAGGTAAGTGAAGCATGCATGGCGCGGGAACCCTGCAGTGTCCCGAACACATCAATAAACCGATGATCGTATGCAAATCATTGACAATTTTCAGACAATCCTATTTGTTTCTTGGGTGCAATCAAAGAGTGTGAAGTATAACGCTGATAAACGTGAACAATGATTGAAATCTTTTGTTATAGTAAGGGTTGTATAATAGTACAACAAATGAATGCCGAACTTAAATTTCTATCCAAAAATAATGATTCTACCTCTAAATACGTAAAAGTAGTTGTTCACTGGCGAACGCAAACCAACGTTGCCGAAAAGTAATACGGCAACAATGCACGCAATAATCAATGACTGGGATAACTAAAATTACCTAGAGCAGGAACAATAAGAATTACAATTCTGATAACTCACCTTTTCGAGACATTCTTGTCCCTTGGCTTTGGGATCAACTTCAACTTCCAATATCACAGAATTTGGTTGACTTACTAAACACCACATTTTTGTACATTCGGCTAGCTAGATGCTAGCAAAACACTCCCACATTACAAAAATAAAAATGTTTATGGAATACAACAGTCAATGGAATACGCGAATGCACACAGAAAAAGCACAAATCCAATACCATTGTCTGACAACTTGAAAGAGCAGATGCAGACTGAACCTGCGTTCCCTGCGCTTCTCGCGAGCTGTTTAATTACTTCTGCTTCTCTCCGCCGACATCCTTGAGGTCGCACATGTCCAGCGTCACGTTTTCGGTGATATATCTCTGATTCATGAAGTGGCACTTAATTATTCTGTATGAAAATGTATTAGCACTTTTAGATCATATTTCCAATATTTTAAAATGCATTTCTTTTGGTAATGAATTTAGAATAATTTTGTATGTTGATGCAAGTGGTACGTTGATAACAGTTCTTAATGGTTGCAATTTTATCCACTAGGTGCCAGCATGTACCGATTCCTTTCAACCGCATTTCTCTTGTTTCAAGTTGATTGTTGATGGTAGCGTCGTCGTATTCTGCTGCGATTTACGGCGTCGATATTTCCACGTTCTAAGCGTTTTACAGACTGGGTGGATTTTATATATTTATAAGGTAACGTAATAAAGCGCGTATTCCGCTCTGAATGCATTGCACGATAGTTATCTAGACACTCGACCCATTCAAATTTGTCAATACCAATCGCGCTCGGCATTTACTGTATGTTTGATACTAGCCAAGACTTGCTTTTCCTATATCGGTATTAATTCAAAAATAGTATCAATTTGTGTGTGTTGTATTAAATCATAGAAATTCTGTTGGATCTCTTGCAACTGATGCCGATTAAAAATAGATGTTACTTCGATACACAACCACGAGGTTCTATTATATTTTTACATCAGAGGTGAAAGTTCATTTGTTTTTTGCTCACATTAGTAGCAGAGAGATGTATTCAAAAGAAAGATTTTATTTACTTTAATTTCTTTATGCTTCAAAAGTTTATGATGGAAACTATTCAAATAAATTTGATGCTATAGACAACTATGCTAACACTAGTTAGGTACACCACCATTGCATTGCTATGTTTTATTTGTTGTTTAGTTTTTAAACAAGCACACAAATATCCACTGCACATACCTACATTATATGCAATCTTGATGAAAGGGCACATGAAGATAGTAATCTTGACATTTCGTAGGTGAAGTGTGCTAATACGACAGCTTCAGCGCCGAAATGAGTTCATATTTGCAAGTAGCTGAGGATGAAGGTGAAGAGCCTATAGAGCTGCCAGCAGAAGATGATGGTACCCTTTTACTTTCCACATTGGCTGCGCAGTTTCCTGGTACTTGTGGTTTAAAATACCGTAACCCAGAATCACGAGCTATGAGAGGTGTTCGTTTGGTAGAAGGGAGATTGCATCCTCCTGAAAATGGGTGGGGAGCTTGTGTATACTATTGTGTATTTCCCAAAGAGAACAAACGAAAATCAGATGATCAGTTGGAAAATTCAACTGCCAAAACAAAACGAATGGAAACCAAACTGAAATGTTCAGATTTGATTGTGCTTGGACTGCCTTGGAAGACAACTGAGCAACAGTTACGGGAGTATTTTGAGACCTTTGGAGAAGTTCTAATGGCACAAGTTAAAAAAGACATCAAATCTGGTCAGTCTAAAGGTTTTGGTTTCATCCGTTTTGGTAGTTACGAATCACAAATGCGAGTTCTTGGGCAGAGACATTTAATTGATGGCCGTTGGTGTGATGTTAGGATACCAAATTCTAAAGAAGGACAGATTCAGCAAGTTCCTTGCAAAGTATTTATTGGCCGATGCACAGAAGACATTCAGGCAGATGATTTACGAGAATATTTCTCAAAATTTGGTGAAGTTACAGATGTCTTCATTCCAAAACCTTTTAGGGCATTTGCTTTCGTAACTTTCTTAGATCCAGAAGTTGCACAAAGTTTATGTGGAGAAGATCATATAATAAAGGGTGTATCTGTGCATGTGAGCAATGCTGCACCAAAAACAGATCCAAACAGTCGTGCTTATACAGGCGTGGGAGGGTCAAGGGGTCAGGGATCTCGTGAACCTAAGAATTTAGCAGGCCCATTTGGAGGAGTAAGTGGGACAACCCAGCATTATCAACAGCACCATGGAGCTCCAGGAGGGGGGGCTATGAATCAAGGTACAGCATGGAACCAGGGTTCAATGAACCGTGGCAACCTAGACATGCCTAATCTTCAAGCGCTTGGAATCACAGGCCAAGCAGGAGCTGGTAGCCAGGCTCAGAATCTCAATAACCCAATGGGAATGGGAACACTTAACTTAGGAGCTTTACCGGTAAGCCCAGCATTGGTTGCCGCTGCCTTAAACCAAGCTGGCTGGGGCCTTATAGGTAATCTTCAAGGAGGCCAGCAGCAAGGGGCTGCAGGGGATACAGGACCACAGGGGTTTAACAATCAAGCTGCACCAACAGCAGCAGGCTTTGGCGGTACTCCAGGGGCACCTCAACAACCAGCTGCGCCTCCCACAGCTACAGGTCAGGGTGGTGGGTTATTTAATTGGGGTTTGAATCAAGGTACAACAGGGGGAGGTGGGGATGCAAGTCAGGGTGGTGGCACTTCCGGATCGAATGCACCTCAACAAGTAGGATCATGGCCACAAAGAGGGAAACAGCAGGAAAGTTTTTTAAAGTATGAACAGTAACATTAGTGTTAATGGAAGTTAAATATGCCTCAGGGAAGGAGTCATCGGTATGAGTTACATGGTGTTATCCATTATATTTCTATGAAAATTATTTGCGTCTGCTTATTTCTGAGGCAATAGACTGTTGGCATTTGTAAAGCAGCACTCCTCTTATTTTGAACTAAGGTTGTTCAATGTTTTATAAAAGAAACGACTTCGATAGTAAATTTCTAATTCATTGACTGAGGAGATTCCTCCTTTATTAAATCAAGCTCATAATCTTAGCAACTCTTGGCTGAGAATTGCCTGCCTATCATAAAATAATTTATTTGATGGAGAAATCCTTCATTTGATTTTCTTTATTATTATAATTTTTTTTTTTTTTTTTTTTTTTTGTTTAAACAGTTTTATAAACGAAAGCAAATACCACATTAGTTCCTTTTCTGTTATGAGTTATGGTTAAAATGCTTTGGTGTGTTTGATACTCAAAAATTAAATGTCATTCTGTCTCTGAATACTATTAAAGTATATTCTCAGTGGTAGTTACACACAGTATTTTTACTGTGTCTTCATAGTTCACATAACTATAATCATGTGAGCTGATGAACCTTGCTTTAAAATGAAGCATATTACTGTAAATGTATTAGTATAATTTGAGGTGTCCTTCCTAACACATATATACATTACATACCCATAATAATGCTGTTTTCGAACATATGCGTTGTTTCATAAAAGTCTTTTTCGTAAAGTGATTTATCTACTGATAAGATGAACTCCAAATCGAGAATTTGATAAAACTAAGTCAAAATTGAACAGTAAAATAAGAATGAGGCTACTTCATGCATAAAATGTGATATCTTGGGTAGCATGTTGTTTTAAACTGTACAAAAGAAGTCATAGATTTTGTTACGATGATTAAAATGATTAGATTTTTGAAGAAAACGGTATGAAAAGCGAGTGAGTCCCCCACTACATCATATCATTGGAGCAATAGGAATGTATGGTGATGTATGTGGACACATGGAAAGTGGCCGTGAAAGAGTGTTGTGCTTGGTGTATGTAATGTATGTTTGGTATATATATCTTACCATTCTTATGTTATTCCCTGTTATTTTGTATGTTCACTATGTAGAATGTTTTAGCTGTTTTGGGATATGTGTGTGAACTTTTGAAACATTGTCATGACCTTAGAGTTAGGAAAAGTAGATAGTTATATGATTACTTATGTAATCAATATTGAAACTAATGTACATTCTCTACTTTATATTGTGGCTACATAATTGGCCTTCGAAATTACAGCTTTACTGGTTTCTAATGTTAAAAATGCATAACAAAGTTTTTGTTTGTTTTTTTATTAGTAGACAAAATGGAAGTTCATATATTTTAATTTGGGTAACTGAACATTCTATCTTTTATGTTTACCTGGAAAGGAAGAAATATGATTCAAATTGTTCACAAGTTCTGCCACATGACATTTAACAAGTTCAAATGATTGCTGATGGCCATATGGGATACACGAGTGTTGTAAAGAATACACAGATGTTACAATAAGTTTATTGTGCATTGTGTACAATTATAGTACATAACATGAAAAAGTATACACATACACAACCAGTTATGCTCTTCCATTTCATTAATTCAGATATATTTTGCATTAAGTGCACAAACTTGTTGGTGATTTCTTATTGGAAACCGTACGAATGTTAAATGCTTTTGAAATTGTAAGTTAAATCCCAGAGAAGATGAAAAGTTACTTTGAGTGTTTCTATGAAAGTTGTTCTAGTTAATGTTGCTATACTGTGTAGATGAGTGTGGTTTTGTGAGCCTGTATTGGGTTTTTGAAGAGTGATTTGCTGTGGATTGTAATACCCTTGAAGTGTATATACTGGAACTTAAGTTTGAATGTGGATTAAATATTTCACTGTATCATACACTGACTTTGTGTGATTGACTTATTTAATTTTTTTTTAATTTTTATTACATGAAAGAATAAATATGTTTCAGAGTGTGTTCACAACAGTTGAATTTCACTGTAAAACAAGTCATCTTAAGATTTCTTTAAATTTCTAAGTTGTGGAATGGTTGTATACTGGGAGTACAAGAATGTATGTATTCTTGAGGGGGTGAGCTGATGCCTGGTATTGGAAAGAGTGTACTGCAATGGATTTGTGTGTGTTTCCAGAAAGATGTATTATAATATTGTAGTTGTATTTAACTAATTATACTTGGTTTCGGTTTTCACCCCATAGTTATGGATGTATTATGTATGTTTCTGTATGGCATTGTATGTGTGCATTGTAATACCATGTTGCTTTCATTAAAGATAGTTCTTAAAAATAGAAGACAATACTTAGTACAACCAGCTTTTTCTGGTGAAGGGACTCAATATTTCTGCACATCGTAAGCAGTTTAATGCAGAGTTAATTATACCTGCCTGAGCATTTAATTGGGAGTTATAATAAACATTGGATAAAGGATATAAATTAAAAGCTTAAGTTGAATACTACATGACACTGTATTTTTTCACTGTACAACAATGACATTACACTTACATTGCAACAAAAATATACAAATTTACAAGAAAACAGCTTCAATAATACCTTTATACCAGAATGGTCATCTCCATCACCAAATGCATTTGACCCGTACTTAATTTACTCAAACTACTTTCAAATTAGGATGACATTTTTATCATGATCTACTAATGGGAGGAATAAAAAGGTAGATCTATCAATTTTTTTTTATGACAACTGATTTTACTTTTCAGCACGGAAATTCTGATGAAGTTCAGGTTTTATGTCATACACCAGTTCCAAGATCTTCTGGATTACCTGTTGGAATAGAAATTGCACAAATAAAGAGATTAAAACTAGCAATGTGTTTTCTATCACACTTATCCTTATTAATGCATTTTGCACAAACAAATTGCTATCTTAAATATATCTTTGTGAGGAAGTTAAATCCACAAGGGAAAAAAAAACAAAACTGTATACGTAAAAATGAGTAAAGATGTTGAATTGATGGAGGAGGGATTCTTTGCATTACTAAATACAAATGACAGAAGAATTGGTGACAAATAGGGTTCTACACAACTATGGTAAACACTGCCAAATAAAAGGAATGTCCTTGCATACCTGCTGTTTGTTTTGAGCCACCGCTTGGTTCATTTGCTCAATTTTCAGTTTGGTGTCTGCTTCAATACGGGCTGCAACATCTTCCCGGGAACCCATGTGCTGTTCAATACAATAGTATATTAAAAATTGTTAATAAAATAATAAGCCTCGTAACAGCACAAAGGTCGCAGATAAATACCTTAGCTTCAAATTCTTTAAATTGACTCTCCCTTTCTTGCCTGTATTTTTCAATCTCATCTTGGGCTTCCTCTTTGGCTTGTTTCAGACGTCGCGCTTTCCCTTTGGAACAAAAAGACACGGCATTTCTTACACATTTCAAAATGTATTATAACATTTGCTTCGAAATCATACAAACGTGACGGTAAAACAGAACAATAAATGAAATCCTTGACGTGATTTGGGTCATACTCCAAAAGTTGGTATTAAGTCAAAATTAATAGTAAAACAAATGCACAATAGAAAGGAAGCATGTGATTACGATTTACTCACTTTTTCGTGCTTCGGCTACTTTTTCTGCGGCCCTCTTTTCGGCTGCAAGAAGTTGTTGAATACCCTGCGTTTGGCTTGCCATCTTTCAGCTGACTGTATCGATCATATGACTGTTAATACAGTGTCCGACGTTGAGAGCGCGTAGTCATCGCGTCACGAGCATGGCAACTTCCGGTAAATGGGCGTGCCCTGAAATTGTCGCGGGGCATTTAAGTTTCCTCAACCATCAAAATCCAAGACATGTCACTAATCTCAATATCCGAATATTTTCCGCGTGGAAAACCGATGCAAATTATTTAGAGATGATTAGGATTGCTTAACAATTAGTGATTCATTTTCCAAAAGTGTATTGCCCGAGGAACTCTATAATAATGGTTACATATCCTGAATAACTTAACAATATTGTCAAAATATGTTCAGAAGAACGTAGAACATTGTGCCAAAACAGTAAACTAGTGGGGCCACAACCGCACAAACTTCCACAATTTGGCGGTAACCGTTCGATAATGTAGTTATGCACCTATCCTACTAACCCTTATGCCTTTGCCAAACAATTTAAATGAATATTACGAAAACACTACAATTTCTTAAAATAAATTTACATGAAATTATTCAACAACTAATATTAATATATAAATGGCGTTAAAATAATAAATATTTATTTTTAATGTCACAGGCGGAAGGTTAGTGACAATCGCCAAAACTTTAAACATTCTCACCATATAACTAAAAATTACAATATATTGCAAAATGTATACATGGAATGATTTAAAAATATAGTTCTGAAAAACAGATTGCACTAAGATAGGAATCTTCAGAGCCATGATAATTATGTGGGTATTAATGCTGAATTAATTATGCTGATGTTACACCTTCATATTGAAAGCATTGCAAATGTTTGAAAGTAGTGGCCCTGCAGGTGGCACAGCGATTTAAGTTAATATTTGTGTTAATCGGATCTAACTTTTTGATGTTTTTACTTTCCCGTATACGAACGTATATACGCTGTATAGGGAAAGTTATGTAATGCTGAAGAAAATCGATTTCGAGGGAAATACACATTTTGAGGTCCCCAGATACCGAAAGAGTGGATCTTTCTTCAGAACGTCAGTCTGTGAACACAACTAGCGCCTAAGCCGTACGCACTGATTTTTTCCAAACTGGATATTTCCACGTCGATCTGACTCCACTCGAAGCGCCTCGATTTTGAAAAACGTTCTTCAAAATTTGGGGGTATTTTACATGAAGCCCCTCCGACATTTTCAAAATTTTCTCAAAAATGGCTCCAAATTTTTTCTTTAAATCTCTCGTGAGAATAGACTAAAATACTCTTATAAAGGTGGCGTAGTAAGATTTTCACGGTTATCTCTGAATTTTCGAAAACTGCAAAAGTTTGAATTTTTTCTGCCTTTTCCTAAAACTACAAAATTGAAGATAGAGGTTTTTCGTTCATGTAAAAGTTGTTGTTCATACTGAGTTCTTTCATTAAGGTTATGTACATTTTTTAAATTTTTAGTATTTTCGCGCAATATTGCACACAATATTTGCAATTTCAAGAACAAGATTTTCCCAAAAACAGCTCCAAATCTTTTCTTTAAACTTGTAGTAGGGAGAGTGCTAAATGCACTCTATAAGATGACGTAGACGCCACATTGCTCTATCCTTTTGTTATTACAAAAATATTTTTTTTTATTTCTCTCATATCGTTAATAATTTATACTATCGATCATTTGTTCACATTACGAGTACATGTGCTTAAAATAATGACATAAAGTTACTCGAAAACTCAACCGATTTATGTGAAAAATAGCACATGATTCCGCATTTTCAGAAACGCTCAAACGCTATTTTCTCAAAAAACGGCTAAAATATTATTCTTCAAACTTTTTGAACGGATACTGCTAATTACATTCTTTAATATGACGTAAAGTTTATTTCTGTGCATTTTTTGTTGTTTTTTCGAAAATTACCCAAATGTTAATTATTGGAAAAATCTCTCACGCCATTAATATACACATTTCCAGCGATTTGTAAACACTATTGTATATGAGAGATAAAAATGCTTTAAGTGACTTCTCATTAAGTTTTTCGAAAACTCAAACATTTTCTGTAAAAAAATACTTCAAATTTCGAATTTACAGTAGGGCTTAAACGCAATTTTCTTAAAAACTTCTCCAAAGAAAATTGCCATTTACGACGAGGTTTTACTGTTTATTAATATTCTTAAAATAATATTTCCGTTCTACTATTAGGAAACCGAAAAACTAAGAAAAATTTAAAAAAGTATTTGGGCAGTGATACATGGCAGTTGGCAAGAGTATGTGGCATGTTCGTATAGCAAGACGAAACCAAAAGAAATATAAAAAATAAGAAAAAAAAAACTAATACGAGAAATCTGTGCCATTCAGTAGCACCACTAGTTTTTATTTATTTATTCAATTAGATTAGCCTAAAGTTCTATAGTCAGGACACACTTGTGGAAACTAGTGATCGCGCAATGGTCCACATTTGACCGTAATTAATTAATGTTTACTTTATTTACTTTTGTCAAAACGTACACCTTTATACCCATTACCTATATTTTTTTTAAAAAATGGCCTGTTTCGTCATTTATGAGTTTCTCCAAATATGTCATTAGCGTGTGCTGTTTGGCTTTATTCCCTGGAATACCTACGAAACTTCAAAACCTGGTTTTGAAGACAGGGAGAAATATACTCTGTGGGGAGATCACAGGGCTGCTTGCCCCTCCCTCAAGGCAGAGGAATTTCCAACGTAAACTGGTCTCGTGAACTCAACCGCAAACAGAGCAACGTTTTTCAAAAGTTAAATCAGTGGCGTAACGTTTGGGCCCGCAATGCGGGCGGGCCCGGGTAAAAGGGGTTCTATTTTTAGGGGATCTTTTGTATTATTTAAGGTACTAACACAACTTGAGTTTGTTATACACTGCTATAAAGGAGGCTCGGAAAAACGTTTTGCCGGAGGGCCCGCACTTATTTCGTTACGCTACTTGATAAATAGTATACTGTCTCTAGTGTTCTTTCTTTATGTATGTTAAGTGAAAAAATAACATCACTACGAACTTATGTAAAAACTAATATCGTTCACGTACGAAAATTATTATTAATATTGATAATAATGTGCTTTTAACTTACACAAATGAAAATACGGATTTTTCCCTTAAACTCTGAGCTTGGAATGAAATGTCTCATTGTGTAGATTAAATGTGTCCAATACGGGATCAGTTCTTTAAGGTTTTAAACCCCATCGTTTCCGAGTTATGAATAATTGTGGATTGCACGCTATTTATATATAATTTCATATATTTGAAATACATAAGGCCTTTATGTAAAATTTAGCTTTGTGTACTTTTTCTCCACAATAACTAAGCCAAATATACACATACATGTGCGCAATACGCTTAAAAAGTGATCCAAAGTTTTCTCTTTGCATATTAATAAGTATAATAAAAATTCATGAAACGAAATAAAAGAAACACAGGAACTGAAAATACAAAAACCTTCATCGCAAACGTTAAAACTAATTCAAAATTTCAACAATTTTATTAAAACTACTTACATTATATTAACATTACATAGTAACGGTATAGTTATTAACATACCCAGAAATGTTATGAGTGTTATCACTGCAAAGAACAAAGGTTAACTTGTGATACTACAGAATGGCAGAGACCTTCCCGTATTACTTTTCTATTTCTGTGGTCCCCGCTAGCTATAGGACCTTGCCATATAATCTTGCCGCAGCCATCTACCACCGCTGAAAGTACACTTTTTTGAATTTTCTTAATTTTTCGGTTTTCTAATAGTAGAACGGAAAAACCTCGCCCTAAATTGCAATTTTCTCTGAACAACTTGGAGCTGTTTTTAAGAAAATGGCGTTTCGCTACTGTAAATTCGAAATTTAAAGCTTCCGACAGACTTTTTTACGTTGCTACGAACATTAAATTCCTTTTCGTACTACTGCCCGTTAATATATCTGCATAACACAACCTCATAGAAAAATGAAAAGGTAGCCTTAATGGCCGCCGGTCGTTAATTTCTTAACGGACACTAAGAAGCCAAGTAATCATCGAACTATTTATTAGTTCATGTTTTTGTGCAATTCAGTGTTACTAGCACACCGTTGCTCGTGGTTTACATAGTCAATGATAAAAGATCGCCTCGTCTCGAAATGGAACAGATGGAACAGGGGAACAAATAGGGCTAGGGGACAAAACGATTCTAGTATGTTTTTACAATAAAATATTGGTATAGTAAATGTCGCGTATAAGCAAGAATCGTATAACGTATCGTATATAACGAATCGTATTTGAAATAGAAGATGGCGTTGCACTCCAATGTCTTGAAAGCAAAGGAGTTTCTTATTTATATTATTTTCTTCTTATAAGAAGATGTTATTACGAAAAGTATTGAATGACACGCGCCTGATTTCACAAATAAAAATCTTGGTTGGTTATTTGGTGTTTATCGGCCTAGTGACGTTAACTACAACATAACTATGACATAACACGGGTTAAAGACGCATGTGACCGAGAAACAGTGTTAACATATATTTAAGCTTCATAAAAAATATTAAATCTAATACATTACACTTCATTTTCAATAAGAAATTTACAATACTTTTGAATCATCTGAGATTGGCGCATCTTTAGTGGACATTTTCACATTAAAAAGTTTTATTTGTGCTTCGCAATTTTCAAAATAAAAATAAATTGTAAACATATTGCAGTTGCCCGAATGGTCCATTTTCAGGCATGAAGTTACATGAAAAAGTGTCGATTAAAATTTATACTTTTTTAGTTTTCTGTTTCATTACAAAATTAATTTTAATTATAGACATTCAGATGGATTAAGTCGTAAAGGTTTACTATGCCGAAAGAGAATAGTAATTTTGCGTATAGTGCAGTCGATGGGGAGCCGTAAGATGGTTCACATTGCAAAAAGTGATGTAGATTTTATTTTGTATTTTGTTTATATTGTTACTAACATACCCATTCGAGAACTCCTGCCCTTCTATTTCTATTCTCAGAGAGAAAATTGTTAACGAAACGTATTTATTTGGTGACTGAAAAGATAACAGGTAATGTTCAGCTTCTGGGTCAATGACCTCCATCTCAATCAGATTTTCGTTGTTTCTTCCGTAGAGCAAATGCTAAGATGGCATCTGCTTCTGAACATTGCTATATCTATTGCATCTGGACATACATGCGAGTTCATTATGCACACATTTTGTGACTTCACCTTTGCCAAGTTGTGGAAGTAGTAATAATCTACCTTGAATGAGATTAGAATATTCAGATGACGAATCTTTGAAACTAATAACTTTACGAGACAATAGACATAACAGAGGACATTTTTTAAATATAAAAATAGAGGAACTATTTTAGTTTGAATTTTATTATGTAAGATTCAAACTAAAATACACATCAGTCATTTGGGATCCAGACCAAAGAGTATATCTGCTTCAGACAAAATAGGGTTGATGAAGTCTTGAGGCTTGTCAATGGTGGTTTGCAAAATATTTAAATTTAAAAATTTGGGATGATATCCACCATGAGGAATTGTCACACAAAAACAATCTACAGTCTTGAGAGGAGGCGGCATTTGAACCAAATTGTTTTTCTGATAAAACTAATTAGAGGCATAATTATTTTCAGAAGTTGCATTCTCGATTCCCACATACAATAGTTGTTCTCTCGGACTGTTCTATAATCAAATAACTGAGCATCATTGTACAATGCAAGACTATTGAAAATGATCTCCTCTCTACCAATATTAACAAATATCTTAATGTATAATAATTATTTCAATCTTCTATAGTTATAATTATATTCCTATACTTGTATTTGCCATGATGTTAGATTTAAGCTGTATGTAGTCCTGTAATTTTTTTCTAATGTTCTATCTCTATAATTGAATTTCCAAATTTATGCATGCCATGATGTTGGATTTAAGTTGTATATAATCTTGTAATTGAGGTTTCCTGCTGGACTTGTATTATATCCAATAAATAAATAAAAAAATCTCAGCTAATTTTGAAGAATATGTTGAATCTATTATTGCATAACATTAAAATATCACAATTTCTGTCCTACTAACCCTTCGGCAATCATTCTGGTGAAATATTTCAAGATTCATTTTGAATTGAAATTTAAAATTGAATTGAGTTAGAATTTTTCAATAATTACCCATACAATAGTATTTGTTGCTTCATACCTCAAATTAATTAACGTTTCGAAATCAAAACATTTATATTGCACCTGAAAGGAATTCTCTTTAATTATTTTATATTTTCATAATTTTGAAACAGAATTGAATTCTTAAACATTGTGTGATAATGATAATTTACACAATATACAGAGAATGCTGGAGATTTTAGAATGTATCCTCTTGTTTGTATTTTTTATAATATTGTTATTGAATATTGTCAGAAGTTGTAGCACTAGAAGTCGTGTAAAAGTCTCCACAACTTTCACAAATAGTCACGACTTTTGAGAAGGTGTGACACCAGTGTCACAATACCTAATGTTATTGTGAAAATGGGCCTTAAGTAAAAATTACATGCAAAATGTGGGTGTCCAAAGGGGTGAGGGGGCAACTGTGATATGTTGCCCCTGGCCCCAACTTAATTGGTTCTGAATTTTGTATATTCAAAAATACAAAAATATCTATTTACTTCTAAATCATATTAATTTCTTCTGTGCCAACAGTGCAAAGTCAGAAATTTTATAAAACCACTTATGAAACATACATAAAATATATCATGTACAAAATGTTTCATGAAACAAGTGTGTCATGTCTTGAAAGGTAAAAAGTATACAACTACCAGTCAATTCATTACAATTAGAAAACACACATAATACAACATACTGCTTTTTATTTTATATTAAGTCTATTATACACATTTGAGATTTATTATATAATTTTCACACCTTGCAGATTACACCTGTTATTCAACAATATTTTTTCTTGCCTCTTTTTCTCCTCTTTAAATGCTTCTGTATTTAATTTACGTTCCATCCTTCGAGCCTGGAAATAAACAGAAAATTGTGCCTTTCGTAGGTTAAGTTTATTTTGCAACATGCCATCATGAAAACTAATACTCATAATCATCGAGATAACTAATAATCTCATGCTTCATGTATGCTCATATATAGACCATTTTACTTACCAGTTACAAATAATAGATATACATATAGCTAAAAAATTTTCTGTATAATTAATAACTTGTTTCCTCTTATGAAGAGTTGATGTGTTTGCCGAGTCCGTAACGGAAGTAGAATTAGATTTATAGTGTAAAATTTTGTTACAAATAAGAACAAATGGGTTATTCCTGTGTGCTTTGTATAATGAAAAAATACAAAATTAAAAAAATAATACTAATATATTACCTGTCTATATTCCTTAACTGCTTTCTTCCTGTTTCGCTTTTCTTCAGGGGTCTCATTTTTAGATCTGATGGATAGTGCAGAGAGAGTGGATAAAATTGATTCAGCTCTGCAATGCTGATCCATTTCTTGGTTTACAGAATCTAACTTAGCAAGTGATTTGGCAGTCAATTTATTACTTCCACCATCAAGTACATCCAAGGGCATGCCAGTCCGTTCACTTACACGAATGCGTTGTGGACCCTGAAATTGGAAAGAAGTACTTGACTTTAATTAATACAAGTCAAAAATATAAAATACTGAAGACTGTCAAAAATACGCAAAACTTTTCAATGGAAAATGGAAATACCTTCTTTTTTCTCAATTTTTATTTACATTTATTTTTCACCTTTATCATGACATAGACAATTACATCATCTCTCAAGAGTCCTAAACTAGAAGATCAGGCAAACTTTGAAAGTCAACTGATAGTGAAAATCGACATATGACTTCTTTATATATTTAACTCAATTCTTAGAAGAAACGTGACGAAAAAATTTTGAGCCATTTTTGACTAAATATTGCTGGGGCTTTATGTAATATTGTGCACTTTCCTTGCAATGTCCCAGTATCTGTGGCTGTGTGACGATGAGAAAGCTCACTTCTCAGGTTGAGGAGACCAGAATACAGTATAGGGATATCAATGTGTTAACCACACGAAGGGGATGCTGCTGGTCAGCCATAGTTCGTAAAGAGCTGTTGTGCTAAAGTACAGACATGTAATTGTGACTGTTGGTCATTTAATATTATTTAGATAATTTGGTTTTTAGTGGTCCGCTTTACCTATTTCATAATGTAATAATGTATTTCTTTTTGATTGAAATTCCTTATTCTTACATTACTTAACTCGAATACTATTTGTTGATCAGTTACTCAGATTTGGATATTTCAGTTTTGGATTCAATTAATTAATTTTTTAATTTTTTGCAATCAATTTATTTCTTGCTCAATTTGATTATATTGAGTCATTTTAAAATTAGAAATGGCTTAACCCAGGACCTACAGGCCTGTTCTCAGGTAAAAATCACATACATTTAAAGTTAGTTTCAATGGAATTAACATTGTTGGTTATGGAAAGAATTATTGGATGAAGGGAGTCATTTCACTCACATCTTTGTTACATTATGAGTGACAAAATTATTGCAGGTAAGTGAATTCCATTTGTGTTACCTGTTCTAAATTTATAACTGTTTATAAGAGAGATAATTAGAGATTCATTGCTGCTAATAATCACCGACATGAAAAATAAATAAATACAATTATTTTTTGTGAAGTTATTTTGTATTTATAGATGGATGGTATTTCAGTTGCATAGCATGCTCCGTTTCAGTATCATAAGAAGATTCCAAAAAGTTATTTATTAATTTATTTGATTGTCATCGTCATCATCAATGACAACGACAACAACAACTTCTGGTCGCTAGGCCTGTCGCCGGTTCCTGTTTCCCATTACATCAGGAAGCTTATATATCTAGGTTTTCCTCAAAGAAATTCTTTTCAGGAACTTTCTTCTGTTTTCAGCCATTTCTTTTGTGGCCTTCCCATATCCCTTTGCCCGATTGGTTTGTACTTCAACACTCCTTTTCAGAATCTTCCTTATTTCATTCTGTAAATGTGAGAGAGCCATTTTCTTTGGCAATTCTGCTACTATATTTTTAGCCTTTATACTGTTTCTGATATCTTTACTCCTTTACCTATCCTTTAGTGTCACTCCAGCAAGATAACGTAGGAATCTCATTTACATTGTCTCTGATCTTTGTTGCACACTACATTTCATTGTCCAGACTTCTGACCCATGCATGAAGATTGATGTAGACATCATATTGTGGATTTTTAGTTTGGTCTCTTTTAGTTATCTCTCTTCCAAAGTGTCTTTTGTTTAATCTGTCTATCCTGTTGTATTTCTAAAGTTTGTTTTCCAAGTCCTCTGATCTCTGTCCAATGAGATTGCCCAAATAACTGAATTTATTTTAGTTAGAAAGCAGTAAAAGCTGCAAGTGACATATGGGGGAGAATATCATCCACACACGTTTTCTTGAGTTCCAGAATCCCTTCCCAATGTTTTATCTATAAATAGTGAAAAGGGAATAAAATTTATAATAATAATAATAATAATAATAATAATAATAATAATAATAATAATAAAAATTAAAAAAAACAAGATTAGCAACATTTGAAACACTAGACATTTTTGTTCTCAAGCTATACAAAACTTATTTGCATCAGTAAATGAATTGCACATTTGATTTTCTGCATTGCTAACACAATAGTAACTCTCCCTCAGCTCTATTCCTACCACTACAAGCAAAAGGAGAGCTCAACAATATGTGCACATAGTGAAGCTACATTTATGTCCAGAAGCAAATCAGGGGGCCATCACAGTATTTGCTCCATGGATTAGGAAACTGAACAAAAATTGAGATGGTGGTCATTGTCCTGGATGCTGAAGTACATTACAGGCTTATTAGGTAAGTCTTTTTACAAAAATTATAAACTACAAATGTTAACTAATTCATTATGTATTATTGTTTCGTTAAAATAAACATTATTTTTCTTTTTGATGATTAGTATAGTCTCTAATTTTATAGAAACAGTTACGCAGCAGAAAAGATTTTCTTTTTAACTTAAATTTGTGTACTGATTTTAATTGTTTATTGTCATCTGGCAATGCATTGAAAAGTAACGTAAATGTTTTGTAAATGGATTTCTTGTAGTAAGCTGTCGATACTTTTTTTTTTGTTTACTATTAATCTATTACGAAACCAATTTGACTCTTCTAAAAATAAAACAAAAACCTCTCAGCTCATCTGAAAAGAAACACAAAGGAATGTTCTCTGACACTGGAATTGACACACATCAGAAATGTCTAATTATTAATTTATTGTTGATATTATTTGATATTTTACGAAATCATGCTGTATTATCTATAATTTATAATATAATCATAATACTCTATCTCTGATTGTCAAATGCTTTAAGAATTACATACTGAAAATTACCTATTAATAACATAAAAAATTTCTATGCCTACCTCTTATAATTACACAATTCTTATTAGCGTTGCATGAGTATGTTAAAGTAATTTAAAACTAATATGTAGCACATGTTTGTCAATTCGGACATTGAACATGCATGCCTAATAGAAAAGAGTTGAAAGATGATCCTCAGAGTTCTAATTAATTAAATCAATGTATTTCCTATATGATTGCATCTAATCAGAGCAGATTTCAATATCTTTATTTGACTTTAAAAATATAAATTATTTGCTTCATACATTTTTTATTAGTAATTTTTCTAGATCCTTCACCAGAGTTAATGCTCTCAATACTTGATTATGAAGACGACAAACAAGCAGGGGTAAATGCGGTCAGATTCACAATTTCAATAGTTGGCTGTTCAGATCAGACGTAACATTGCAAATTCAGTCCGTGCTGTTATATGCCTAGAACCATTTGAATTTTAAATTACGGAGCTTCAAGTCAGGACTGTTTTATAGGGAAATATTAATTTTAGAAAAAATCCTATAAATAGTTTAGCTGCGGATGTTATTCGCTGACACACAGAAGGACAATTTGAAGAAAACCACACCTTTGATTTCAGGGGATCTCAAAATGAGTATTTCCACTGAAATCTCAAAACTGATTTTCCGCAGCATTACATAACTTTTTCTATACAAAATATATTACAACATATATTCAAACACATTAGAGAAAGGAACGAGGGAGACCTTCTATAAAATGATCATACTAAAAGAGGCATTGTTCTTCTGTAATGTATTGAATACCTTTCTTTTGACATATTAAAGGGTCAAAATACTATCTCACATTATTTATATGATTAAATGATTGGGGACAATTTATATAACCAAAACATAAATGAAATGTAATGTGTTATTTATCAAAACCACTATAATACTTCAGTATATCAATACATTGTAAACCAAAGTTTCTTTAAACATTGTGGTCTACAATATTTTCTGTTTTTGCGAAGTTTAAAGAAAATCATTATTTATAGGCAAGGGGGCAAAAGTATTTAAAGCTAAGGAAGCCTTGGAGGAAGCCAACACAACAGTTGAACGTAATTCAGGTTCATTAATGATGGACATATTGTTCGCTGATTGGCAGACATACATTCAATTTGCCCTATGAAGTGGGTTTTTGAAGACTTTAGGAAATGGATGAAGGGAGCTAGGTTTCAAGCAGTTTGATGAAAAGAATTATTACAAGAAATAACTGATATTTGAGTCAAGCAATAATTTTTTGAAAAATCAGAATTTGTGTGTATATTATTACCATTAGAAAGAAGAGAAAATTTGAGCCACACAGTTGCACTGATGGTGTTATTTCAAACTGAAATCTTCCAATGTGAAACTAAATAAAATCTGAATTGAAGTACCACTACAATTTTGTGATATTTACAATACTGAAGGATTAAACCATGTAGGGGAGTCTTGGCCAAAGTGACCTGCTTTTTGTTGGTCTGACAACTTCTTTCAATGGAAGATTGTGACCACACACTGATTAAGCAAAAAATGTCAATCTTACCTTTGGTTCACTGATTAATTTAGGATGGTTGTATAAGTTGGAGTACGTTGAAAGTATTGATTCACAATCCCATTTCTCTGTTTTATCAGGAACTTCCAATAATTCTGTTTCATCTTCAGAATCTGTGTATTGATTTTCTATTATCTTCAGGGTTTTGTCTACCTCGTGCTTGTGGGTAGCATTTCGTTTTTCAAAATCTTCGATGCACTGCTCCAGGAGATCAGAATTCTGAGTAAGGTGCCCCTCGATTTCTTCGCTATCAAGAGCTCCAATTTCGTTATCATCATACTCGGCAAATAACTGGAACAGCAAAGATGTATTAGTAACTGATAAATAAACAGTAAAAAGTATTGCATACTGAATCCAGTCACAAAAAATAATAAATTACAATACCTGCTCAAAACGATCATCTAATAAGGTCAGTTGTTCATTGCGTCTTATGACAGAACTTGACATTGAATAATTTGTAAACCGTGATTTTGTTTCTTCCTCATCAAAGGCACATTCACTACTTTGCAGGCTGGGAACGTCGTCATCAATTTCATCATCATAATTCTCTTCAGAAGCAGAATCAGCACTCAAACTATAGATAGAATAAAAAAACTGTACACACTCACCTAAGAAAGTTATTATATTATTTCTCATGAATATTTCTTAACTGCCTAAAATGTATTCAAGGTAAAATTTAAATATTCTAGTTGGCATTGTTAAGACCTCAAAAGTATCTATTTTAAGGAAGAGAAAGAAAAAGAAGAAGAGAAAAGAAGAAAAACAACAATAACAAAAACTTTATTTGAGACTTTTTTCCGATCTTCAGATCCTAGGTTGAGCAATTGTGAAGCTGCGCTGATCTTTGAAAGTTTGTTATCTTGAATTAAAAATTAAATTGGAAATACATTAATTCAAAAATTTGCTTTAATGATTTAACCATTTTTTTCCAAATATAATTTTTTTCTTGCAAAATCGTATTTGATAAAACTAAAAAAAATTAAATCTAATGGGAATGTAACCTTTAATTTTTTAATAGCAATCACTTGACACTCACACAAACTTGAAACAGTTTGTATATTTATTCATTTATTCATTAGTTTGTTTATTTATTTATTTGTTCATTCACTTATTATTGATTCATTTATTTATTTGTTTATTTTATTCATTTATTAAACATGTCAAAAGCACAATGTTTTTCAAATAGATTGTTTGCACATTAGGTGCTGTAAAAATAGAAACTATTTTACAAACTTTTTGACACAAGGTCATAAAAAAGAAAGCATACAACTAAATAGTTTAAAATAAAAGACATCATAATAATTAAATTGGTATAAGAAACGTTAAAAGAGATAAAATTATTACAGAAAAAATTTTAAATAAAATATCCAAAACACAAAACAGGTTTTAAAATGAAGAAACGCAGTACAAAGCACAAGTCCAAGAGAACTCATCTAATAATAGCTTTAAAAATATATTTGATTTACGACAGTGTACCACAAAAGGCCGTAATGTAAATCATGTCAGTTAGACCCCAGATTTAGACATACCCTTCAAAAGATGGGTGAATAAAGCAGAGAACAATGGGGGACTTTGGTAATCTAGGTGAGATGGAAGGATGGTGCAGGAGATACAAATTAACCTTTCAGATCAGTTCCATGCATGTAGTGTACTTCACAAGTCCTTAACAGATAACCATCAAAGGGAATCAAGAGTTATCAAACTGGAGGAACGCTGTGAAATGGAAGACACAAATGCATGTTCATTAAGAGAAATTTATTAAAATTATCTGTTGTTTTCTGACACAAAGTACTCCTCCTGCGAAGAAAGCGACTCTGGATGCCATCATTTAAAGTAACTTAACAACACAGCCCATCATAGGAAGTAGGCATCGCCATAATCAACAGTAATCTCCACCACTTTTTATTATAATACAGTTCAAAATCCCTTAAGATGAGCAAGTAATAACGGTCAATCTATGAAATATGCTTTGCTGTTGACCAAATAGTGAGGTGGCAACTGCAAAGAGGGAATATTTATTCATGACTAATGGAAGAATTAATCAGTACCACAAAAAATAGGCTGTTATTGAAAGTGACTGCTTAATTGAGGTGGCCATTTAAGCAAGTTTTTACTGTATGTAGATAGTTTTAAAAAAAATGTCACCACCAGGACTCGTGCTCTAGGTCCTCTCAGTCAGAATTACTGCAGAGATAATTTTGACCCTGCACTAAATCAGCTGTCCTTTGTAAACTTATTTTTATGAACACGGGTTCCAATCTCACATTACACCAAAGAACTTTTAAAAATAATTTGACCCTTTTAAACATTTTCACTACAGATATTCATTATATTACTTTGCGGTTTAATCTTAAATTAGTTTGATTATGGAGTTGACTTCATTATGATCATCACAATTGTTATTGTTACATTTTGTGACATTGAATGCGCAGAATCAGGATATTATCATGCTGTTACTGTATCTTTTATTACATAGAAAGGAAAACAAAAGGAAGAAAAAAATATTGTATGTTGATAAAAATGAAAACATGATATTATAATATATATACGGTACCTCTCATCATCAGAGCTTTTTTCAGCATTTGCTAATTCTATAAAATTATCTTCAAGTTCATTGTCAGGATTATCAAAATCAAAATCGTCATCCATAGCAGCAACAACATCAGGGTCTAAATCCAAACGAAGTCCTGAAAAATATAATAAATGACAAGTTTACCAACTTGCAGTAATTCTATATGAAGTCATACATTATGTACAATGTAAAACCAATTCAAATTATCTGAAGATCCTAGGTAATCTTCTTAAAACATAACCAAAATGAAATTATCCCGAAATGAACATGCCTTAACATAACAAGGTTACGTCTAGTCAGTATTATTTCAGTGCTGCAATAATTACACTAATTGCATTTAAAATGTGTGGCAAATACAACTAAATAATAAAACACAAGTATCCTTTAGATTTTTACCAACCAATAAGAATGTTTTTCATCTAAATAAGTCAATTTTTATTACATGACATTTCACAAGTCACTTTCATGCATCATTAGGTGTACACAATTAATAAAAATAGCATGTTTATCTCTGCAAATAAATGACAAACACAATTTTGAAGATATCGAATAATATAAAATAAGTTACATAAAACAGATGAAAATCATGAAAACATGAAGTATAATTGAAAAAATATAAAAGTAGTAAGCACAAAACACAAAATAAGACTGAAAATATTATAAAGATATTATTAATAAGTTATTATAAATATAAATAAACACCTTTTTGTTTAAAAAACATTCTTATTCATTGTCAAAAAACAAAACGATACTTGTTTTTAATTATTTATATTGTAGTGGCAATCCTCTCATATTTTTATCTGTATAAATCAAACAAATATGCCATACGACACTCACAAAGCATCAAAAAAGGACAAAATTATTATAATTTCATTACATATCATCATGTCAACTAGTTTCGAATATGAAAAGTATCAAATGTGATACGCACTATGACTTAGCGATGTCTTACGATTTTATAAAATTCTAAATCTCAGCAGTAAACTATATAATTTGATGGTGAAAACTCTGATATTGTTGATTTGTTTGAATCCAATTAATTGAGGCTCCTGAAAAGTAAAGGTTTTTTACATTTGATATTTTACAATTAACATTATATGTTATGTATTGTTTTAGTAATGTGTTGGAACTCTTATGACGAATTCTAGATGTCAATAATGCCACTTCAAGCAGGGAATACCAAATTTGATAAAACTCCTGTGTACACTTGTTGCACAAGTATGATTCACAGACGGATAAACAAAGCAGAACACAAGAAGCTGATTAACAAGATAATTTTTCATTCGGTATCAAGAACCCACCAATCATGCGTTCTGACAACACTATATATGAAAATGTCATTTAATAACTACAAGTGCAAGAAAAATCTAATTTTTTGGTGTCAGGGTCACACAAAATGTGGTTTTCTTTTGAATCTGCTGCATTTTTTCATGCAACTCTATATATTAGCTTTCTCTTTCAATGAAGTAGATACAAAAAAGTAAAATATGAAGATATTGCATTATAAACCTCAAACAATGATACTATTACCATTGCCACATATTGCAACAGGAGATGTGAGATAGTGTACGTGCATGTTGTAATATTAGTAATTTAATGGCATTTTGTGGTTGTATTGTTGCCTTCATCAACTTCATATTTGAACATTCATTATTATTTTTTGAAATCCTACAAAAGCATGAAAATTAGCTACAGAAAATTCTTTAGGCATTTTGAAAATTAAACATTTGTATTTACATGATAAAACTATATTTCTCACATGCTTAAAATGACAGTTTTTTTTTGTTTTGTTTTTTTATTACTAGACGCAAATTTTAATTCCAATTTTTTATAGCTTTCTTCAGCATCTGCTTTCCTTCTGTACTGAAGGGCAGCAGAACTAAGTGATATATTGTATGGAAACATTCCCGTATTTGAGTACAATAATTTGTAATTGTTACCGGTATCTTGACGGTTATTTTGTAAATTTTCTGATGGACTTTTCATTGAAATCTGACTGTTCTTTATAATATCATGATATAGAATGTTTTTGATTGAAAGTCTGACTCGTCGGAAAAGCATAAAACACATAATTTTATTGTGTAAAAATACTACATACATCAAAATATTTGATAGTACAATGAACGCAAAATGTTATTGAATTCATCACTGCACTCTTCATACTATTCGCATGCAGGGAATTGCCAAAAACACAGTTATTTAGAGCGTTGTTATAAGTGATAAGTATTATCACATTCAAAAATACCACCAAACAAGGCTTAATTTCCACATTTCTTGCACAGAAACATCTGTCACCTGCAAATGACGCCTTCAAAAAGCTACTTATATTTATTGATGTTAAAATATTGGGCTATTATGTGATACTTGGAATAAGAGGAATAAGTGATGTTTACAATTGTTACTGACCTCATATTTAAAATTAAGTCTAAAAATTTCATGTACTATAGAAATAAGAACTGCCTCGTTAAAACAGCCAACATATATGGGGGCAATATCGAATAGAGCAGCAATATTTTTTAATGTAGATAAGCAACATTGAAGGTGGCCGAATGATTAACAAGAAAATTAATCCTTTGCAACTACAGTAAAACACCTGTTTTACACTTTTTACATACTTCATTAATATAAGTAGCTACACCAACAAGCTGCCTATTTAGATGTTTCTTTCCTTTCATGTATTCATATTCAACAAGCATAAAAGCTTCCTCTTGTAATTTTATATTTTTGCAAGACATTATTACCATTAGTAAGAAGGTTATATGGGAACTTGTTTAAAGCCTCCATTATTTAAATCACTTTTCAAAGTAGATTTGCCTGGAAGAACACGTATTATGCTCCTTCCTCAATTATAATAGTTGGTTAACACTGCTCTCTGAAATGAAACCTTAGCAGAAGGTCCTTAAAACAGGAAGAACAATTCAATGGAATTACATTTTTAGGATCAATTAGAATTAACCTCACAGCTTAGAAAGCATTTTATACATTTCCTTCGTTGTTTGCAACAATTTTATTGGAGAGTTCTTCCAATCGTGAAATAAGCTAATCTTATGAAATTGGTCCACATTAGGTTTTGTTCCAATCAAAGATTACAGCCCATCAAGCAGCTTTCAGAGGTTCTAAAAATCAAACTTCTAATGGCTGCAAGAATAAAATAAAACCAAGATTTTTTTCTCTCACTCTTTAATAACCCCAAGGGACACATGGCTTGTTAGGTTGTCAGATTTAGATTTATTATTAATTCTGCACTTAAGTATCACAACTTGGTTACAGAATATCTTAACTTTACACGAATTAAGTTAACATTGATGAACATTAAATTATAATAGGGTAGTTAATTAAAAATAATAATTGAAAGTACAACATTTCCTTGCACAAACCCTACTACACATCACAGCACTACACTTAACTGTGATGCATTCTTTTCTCTTCACTTCATAATATAACACAGCACTGCACTACATAAACAGTAACAAGATGAGGAGGAGAATAATAATAATAATAATAATAATAATAATAATAATAATAATAACAACAACAATTAAAATAACGTACTTATTAGGGAATACTGCTGGTTTAAAAGTAGGAACTTAACAACAATACATTGACCTAAAATACACATAAATAGCTAGAAAACTAGCTTATTTTTAAATTTTCTCAAGCTTTGAGGAAAGGGTTCAAAGACTGTCACAGGCAAATTGTTCGAGTCTCTAATGGTTTGGTTTGTGAATGAAAACTTTCCAACATGTTTTCTGTATTCTTGTCTAAATTTTGTGCACATGATCCGCTCTACCAAAATATGTAGGTTTCTCTAGACAAAGGTTAATTTCATTTCAAGCCAGATAGTCTGTGTATACTTAGTTCATCGCATAGAGCTGCATCTTAATCCACCTTTTTTTGAGCGACTTCCATACACCTCTATTCCCCCTCCCCGAAATTGAATTTTGATGCTCTATGCTGGAGCTTTTCTAGATTACCTTGTTGAGATATTTAGTATGGGTCCCAACATGCCATGCCATATTCTAACACTGGTTGCACTAGTGACATATAAGCTAATAATTTACTTCTCACTCTACTCTTCTTTAACATAACTAAATGTTAAGATCTCCAGGCTTTCCCCAAAATGAAATTTACTTGATATGTTGTCTCTTAATAACTTGATCCCTCCAAGGAGAGAAGATAAGGAAGTGGAAATCTAAGAAAGTAGGAAGATAAGGAAGTGGAAATCTGGAAAACTAGTCTTTAAATTAAAATCAAACCATTCACTATTTTTGTAATTACAACAGTTTCCTTCATGGCCTTCTTCTTGCCTTATATCCCAAATCGCTAAGATTTTTTTAGCACAATTGGAGGCAGTAGTTTTCCATCATTAGAAGCAGCAAACATTATAGAAATACTACTCTCTAATGAACCCAAAATATATTCTTGGTGTTTTAAACCTCTTTTCACAAGCACATGCATCTTGTCAGAGTTGTCACATTTATTTGTAAGATCATAACTAATACTGCTGGTTGAAATACATTACATTGTATCTGCAATAATCTTAACGTACTTTTTAACAGCTGATAACTGACTTTCCCATAACACGGCAATGTTTTCGCTAGGTTGAATTATTAAAATCATTAAGTGGGGCAGCAAAAATGTTTAAGACTTCTGAATTCCTAGCTTATCTTTAAGAAATATTTCTCCTTGTGTTCACATTTGTCCAGTCCCCCTTTCACAACAAACCATATGCCATCAGCAGGAATGAGAAATTTTCAAGGTACTGCTCTAACCATTCCATGGACAAAGTTCTTCAATATCAAGTAAGTTGCCCAAGATACATTCTTCTAACCAGAAGCCTTTTTGTATGATATTTTCCCCAAAATTACTGCAGCAATTATACAGAGTTAAGAATACTAAAAAATGTTGAACTGAGGTATATTATAATTCAAGGAAGTTTATTCACTTACCTCCTCCTTCTCCCTGCCTTACTGCACAAATTAAGAAAACGTCTTATACACACCTGAACGTGGTGCAGCTTTGTTTAACATGCCAATATCCTCTTCTACTGCAGAAGCAAACACTGATGATGGCAACTGAATTTTAACAAGCTGTAACAACAAATATTTCAATTACTAATGTTTGTTTAAAAAAATTCTGAAGAAACAATGAAATTTATTAACTTTTATTAATAATCACATACCAAACAGTGCACTTCAAAATGAAACACACATTTTCATAAGTGTACATGACAGTGTTCTCAAAATTCTCAACTCTCCTTTCTTGACCATATTTGTAATACTTATATCAGAGTATCTAATAATAATTCCATTTCTAATTATACAAAATAATAATTTAACGATCCAATAACTTTAGCCAACATACCGGCTCAGCACTGCTGCTTTGACCTTTCAGTGGAGGGAACTCATCCTTTTGTCTGGGCCTTGGTGACGGTTGCAAATCACCCACCACTTCTTTAATACTTCGAAGATGTTGAAGGTAATTATAATCATCATCAAAGAAAATTCCATATTTTTGTTGTTCTTCTTTTATTTTCTTTACATTAACCTAAAAAAATTGTATCCTGAATGCCCGTTTTGATTTTGTAACAATAGGGAAAGTATATTTTTTTAAATTCCAATAGATACCTTCTCCCCTTTCTCTGAATTTGCTGGTACCAACACATGTTGGGGAGCACTTTCATCTGCAACAAGAGGATCTTGCTGGCTGCGGTGAACAAGGTGGAAGGTAACAGCATGCTTTTTGTCAATAAACTTCTTTTTTGTTTTGGGCTGAAAGAGAACAATGATATACATTTATATTTCGAAAATACTTTTCAAATGAATATTATTCTTATTACAGCACCAGTATTTCCACCTATCTCACCATTTTTAAATTGTCCAATAAAGTACAACTGATACACCACTAAATTCAAGTAATATTTTGAAGATAAAACTTCGTACACACGAGAAACATAACCTTATACCTTACGGCTGACCACCTGGTGACAACTTTCTCCAAAGAATACACAAGTGCATTTACAATAGTACCAACCATGAGATTATAGGTAATACCAACTATAAAGATGTCTTGAATGATGTCACAATGTTTGGCGGGAAAGAGTTGGGTGGCAACCTTTCCTGTGAGTGTAAGGGATACCAACAGAATTACTACGTTTTTGGCTGTATTGGTGTGTGCGACATATAACATTTGTTATTTATAATGAGTTTTGCTTTCTTCCTGTTTATTTAGGCTCCGACTGCAAATTTAGGCAAGCAATTGAATTTAAAAAAGCACTACTTTATCAACACACGTCAAGTCGATACCTTTTCTTTTTAAAAAATGTTCGAAATAAATTTTATCATTACCTTAGTGATGATGGTAAGATGCTGCTTTAAAATAAAATGAAATGTATGGACATTTGGTTCCCTTCCATCGTGCTTTCTCTGTTCATCGCCTTTCATCGGCTATGAAAAGTGCCAACGAATTTCCAGTTCCTGTGCTATTAGCGTAGGAGTGACTCCTTCCGTATATTTTTATAAACTGTCGGTCTATTAAATATTTATTTTAGAAGTTTGTATTAATTATTATCGTCAAAATAAATATTACCTACATTAAACTAAAATTCGTTTCGAACAAAATTCAGAATGTTCGTATACACAGTCCCAAAAATGTTCGTTATTTTTCGCAGAGTGGAGGAACATTCAGAACTAAGTTAACCGGAACTTAATATAACTATTAATTTTTCAATCTATTAATTATAATAAATGTATGGTTATTTAAATATAAATAAATATTACACTTTTGATGGTTGAGTTTCAATATTCAAGTCACGCGCTTAAAATATTACTTGTTATCATCAATTATTTTAATGTAAGATTTTTTATGAAACTTTTTTTCAATATCTTCTGCTTGTCAAGTTTTAATGAATATTTGATGTAATTTCTTTCAATACAATGGAACCACTACTTGTTAGCCCTGGCGGCAGAAGACAACAGTTGATTTGGTGACGTACGTAATATTTGGACACTAATGAAGTCTTGAAGATCAAAAAAATTAAGTGACTCATTCACATTATGATGCTGTGTTTGTAAAACACCTTCATGCAACGCAAATAAATGACAACTTGTTTATTAAGAAATATTATTGGGTTGCTTATATTATTGCAAAAATGTGGAAAATCTATATACTTTTTCACGTTAGAATCTGAGAATGACAAGAAAATGTTTAGACATGTGAATTGCGAATTAAGAAAATTGACGGCTCCAATAACCTTCTATTGAGTTGAAATAACCATCTAAATTTTCTTCCTTCAAAATAGAAATCTATTTTTGTCATTTTTTCCCGAGAGTGCTATAATTTTATATTCTTGGTTTTTTGGAACAGCGGGGCATCTAAAAAAGCTTACTCATGTCCCCTTTTACTCCAGCCCACTCTCGCACTAGCACTTGGTTATCGTAAAAATAAAACTTTATTTTACAGAAAAAGGCCATCTCATTGCGATAAAATGTACCTAAACAACACAAAAATGATTTAAAATCATTATGGGTAAAGGAAAACCCTCAACGAAGAATGATCACGACGTTTTAAAAGAAAATTGACACATCTGTTTTATCCGTAAGCTCTCCGTACATCATCCTTGCCGCTTGCAAACCAGAGGCGACGGTGCTGCCCTCCGAACTACTACAAGTCATGTGTTCTGGACATGTCGAGCACAGCCAGTGATTTGTGTAGAAATATCCAAAAACCAAAGAGTACTATACTATTCGTATTGGTTGCGAGTGTTAAATTGATTTGAGAGTTTGAAGTAGTGCAAGCGTGGATGAATAGGCTCTTAATCTATGGTGATTGTGCGATTAAAAAGGAAACCGCGTCAGGTACGCACACAAGTGAAGGTAGAGTAGGAAACCAAGATTTAAGCTGCTTCCACGGGGATTTATTAAAGAAGTAAGGTTCACCAAGAAGTAGTAGAGGATCCGTAGGGATAGTGGTTCGTACATTCTGTTTCAGGCTTCGTAAATTTGGCGGTTCTCGCACACTAATACAAATCCTCGTGGAAAGTAAATACCCTTCCGGGTGAACCTTGAACCAAATACATGGAAGAATTCGGAAACGAGGACAAAGCTGTGGAGTGCGTCGGGCTATGCAAGATATGGTTCCATAGCAAATACCTAAGAATTTCAGCAGGTGAATTTAACGTATAAGTGAACGTTTAATAATATAATAATAATAATAATAATAATAATAATAATAATAATAATAATAATAATAATAATAATAAAATAACGTTTAAGTAGCAAGAAATGTAATGTAGTATGGCCGTGTTAGCATTGCACGGTTATGTTAACAGCACTGAGGCTTAAAGAGGACATCAAAGACAAAAGAAAATCAAAACTTTATCATACAAGAGTTGAATGAGATGAGAAACGTGATAAGAGGTATCAAGGGCACAGGATAAACCAGTAATAGCGGCAACAAATGAGAAAAGAAATAATGAAAAAAACAAGAAAATGCATTAAGAAAGGTACGTAAACGGAAAAGAGGCAGACTCTCCCCCAGAGCGGATAGAAAACATTAAAGAAACTAAAAGCACTATACTTCGGTTGATTTAGAGCTGCACGTGGCAGGTCGTCAGGTGTTATCCAATCGGGAGCTTACATATCACAATGATGTAAGGCGGTGGCGGTGGTGTAACGGTTAGCGTGACATCGGACTGTTATACCCAAGCTGGTGGGTACAAACCGTGGATGTTTAAGGGCGAAAACATCCTTCGTACGCCTTCCTTCGGAGGGGAAGTAAAGCCGGCTGCCCCATGTTAGTAGATTTACTTGCATGTAAAAGATCAAGCTCTGAACTCTGATCTAAATTCAAATCGCCTGTTTCGTCGCCCAAGAAATGCCTCCTTACTTCGCTAGTGGGTGAAAAACCAGCGAAATTTGTGTGGTCAGACGGAAGAGCGGGCCTGATGGATCGAGTCTCGCCACGTAAAATAAGGCATCGATTCAATTCAATTAAATAGTGACCTTCAACCTCCAGACTGGATGAAACCGATTCAGCTGCTTTACGTCAGGGGCAGGTATGCTTAAATTCAAGTATACAGATGACACTGAAAGAGAGAAACAAGAAGAAACGAGGGAAACAGAGTAACAAGTGTAATTAAGAATGCCAGACATGGAAGATGAAAGTTGCTAAAGACATGGAAGACGAAAATAAGCTGACGCTGTCAACTCTGAAAATGCTTAGAATGATGTTACAGGAAGTAGCAATGAAATATTTAAATAGTTAAAGAGCATAATAATAGGCGTGAAAATTACTCAAAAGGGAGAGAAAAGTTTAATGAAAGCGGAAACAAAGTTAACCAGGTGGAAAGTGGGCAAATCTAGAGGGAACACTAAAGCAGAAGACATGGAGGGATACACTAAAGGTAGTAGTAATGGAGAAATAATCTGTACAAAACCCAAATAGTCAGGGTCGGAACAAAATTTTGAAATAGGTGTTCCCTTAGAAGAGGTGAATAAAATTAGAAGCAAAGATTTTTAACCACGAGGAATAATAATAATAATAATAATAATAATAATAATAATAATAATAATAATAATAATAATAATAAAGGCCCTTTCCATTACAAATGTTGGGGGGATAGGAAAGACACAAGGCTACGTCAAGAATAAAAGGTGCAGTATCCAGAACAGGGGCATGGGGACTTCTATGTTCTCATCAGACGAGCGAGTTTTAGAAAAGAAACGACACATAATTGACAAAGATTACTTGGCGAAAGAATCAATGAGTATTGAAGAGATTGTCATGGTTACCTCCGTCTGGCCGCAAACATACGTTTTTCTTACGAATTTCACGCTTGGTTGGTGCTAATGTACGCCGCGTTTTTGGCGTTTGAAATCACGTAGACTGCAGATATGTGCTGGGAATTGCTTGGTAGCGTGCCGAAACAATCTTTCCATGCGCCCAATACACGTTTCGGTTACCTTCTGGGCATCGCTACGAAATTGCTCGCGGCTCCTCTGATTTTCAAACAATGTGAGCTCGTCGCGTCTGATGAGGAAAAATTGGATTTCGGGAAATCTGACAACGGGTAAATGTTTCGTCGCGGTTGCCCAGGTGGTACAAAAAAGGAGTATTTGGGCAATTGGGAAGGGAATCGTGCGGTTTTTGAACTCGAAAGCGGGAAGTTCGGAATGCGTGGTCTTTGCTTCTAAAACGACTTCAAAGAGCAGCGAAAATGAGCTGCTCGAAGCGTGGCGACTAATTTGAATTAATTTGGCGGTCCATGTTTCAACAGGGCATAAAACTGAAAGTCAGCAAAACAAACACGATTTCCTCCTGCTGTATTTGATAAATTCAGCTGTCGTGTGCGTTATAACCGGCCGTACATGACGTGTAGAGTCGCCGCACGAGCGCGTTGGAGTCACGTCAGCAGGTGAAGGACGAACGTGTCACGAAACGCAATCCACGTCCTGCGAGTTGGCGGGAGCAGTGGGGCGATGTATTCGCGACATTTCGTGGTGTTGCTTCCACGAAAAGCCTGTCCCCTTTCACAACGAAAGCGAACCACGTTGACGGAGTCCAAAATAGCTTTGTGCGCACGCGTGTATTCGGTGCTATTCGAGGTCTTGCGGAGTTGCTTCTCAAAGACGAGTTAGAATGAAGCTTCTGTCGCGGGGTACACGCGGTTCGCCACAGTGTGAGTGACTTGATTGAGGTGAAGAAGGGTGTTTCCGATGTAGAGTTGAGGATGTGTCTCATCATGCCGATACCCAAAACGCGGTCCAAACCACGGATCCGTCAGCTGAAAGACCACACAAATAAATTATGTCGGATAAACTCTTCGCCAATGAGTCATTGTTGCGAGGTATTGCGTCGTCGCCGAAGACTTTTTTCAGGTCCTGCAGACGGCGAGGGATGCGAGAGGCTTGGCGGTCAAGTCCGCAGGATCTCCCTTTGGGGCACTGAGGAGGTCGTGGGACCGTGCGACCTACTGTCGAATGCAAGATCTTCTCCCGCGAGGAAGGCGTCAACGAGAAGACCATAACGCGAAGGAAGGGACGAAGCGGTCTTACCGCGAGAGGACGTCTGGGACACG